CTCTGTGACAGGGGTCCTGTTTTCTGAGCCTCAATAAAAGCAATCTCTTGAGGAAAGTAAAGTACCCATTTAATAGGAAAATACTCTTAAGGAAAATGGTCTTTGAAATAATCTGTAATTTAATTGTTAGTTATGGGACATACCACCCCAAAATATTAAGTCTTGGCGTGTCAAATATTTTAAGCTGAAGGAATTTGAGAAATAGCATGAATAGGAAGTACTTTCTGACCTTCCTCTGAAGTAGGTCCTTAAGTTAGAGGTACCGTGAATATAACCAAAGAAAAAGAGCATCCTCATGTTGGAGGAAGATAAGACCCAATGGAGAGAACAAACAACCAAATACCATGTTTAAAACAGGAAGAGCTTTATTTCAGCCAGGGAGCAAGTGCATGGAAAAATTTACAATGGTCGTGCTTGCAGATTGGCTTGGTCTTATTTTTATCTCCAGTCAAAACATTCCCACTCACCACTACCTTTCTCATTGGTCAGTTTGAATCAAGCTTGGAGAAGTGGGCTCTGGCTTTTATAGAACCACAGGCTTTTACAGAAGAAAGTTTCCAGGTCCCAGGAAGTAAAGTCTACAAATTCTTAAGAGTTGAGTCACAACAGGGGAAGTCCTCGCTGGTGTAGCCTTAGGATCTCCTTGAGAAGACCTCTGTTCTCTTAGACCTTACTTTTTCCGAGTATCCTCTCTCAGGAACACAGGAGATGCAGAGAAGAGTCTGAATGAAAAGAATGCTAAGTTTCCCCCACCTGGCTTATACTTTGTCCTATCACATTTCCTTAGACTCTACTCTTCATCAGATCAAGCATAAATACACTCAGGTTTAACCCAGGAATGTGGGTCTTCATTTCCTTATGAAGGCTCCTGGGTCACATAAAACTTATGTGAAATAAATTTCCATACTTTTCTCATTAATCTGTCATTTGTAACAGGGGCCCCCACCAACAAACTTAAGATGAGTAGAAAGAAGATACTTTTCCTTCCCTACATTAGTATCAATTGATATTGGATCTAGAAAATCACAAAATATTAATGTGCAACAGTTTAAATAACAGGTGTAATATATCTGACCACTAGAGATGGTACCTCTGATTGGTAGAAAATTTCCAAGAACTAGACAGGGCCACTGAGAGAGCAAAAAGGATTCAGTTTCAATCTCTAGGCCAGCATGCATTCACACCAAACTTGCCCTAAGATTTCCTGCTTATGAAATAGCTGAGCCCTTATTAAATTTTCTGATTCCTACCTACCTCACAATATTCTTTTAATAATCAAGTTTGATGATAGCTGGGCATGTCTCATGGCTGTAATCCCAGCTCCCTGGGAGACTGAGGCAGGAAGATCCCTTAAACCCAGGAGTTGGAGGCTGCAGAGCAGTGGTTCTCAATGTGGAGGTCATGACCCCTCTGTAACAATTAAAATACATCCTGCATATCAGATATTTACATTACAATTCATAACAGTAGCAAAATTATTTTGTTACAAAGTAGCAACAAAAATAATTTTATGGTTGGAGGTCACCACAACATGAGGGACTGTATTAAAGGGTCACAGCATTAGGAAGGCTGAGAACCACTGCTGCAGAGGCTGCTATGATCATGTTGTTACTGGACAAAGAGTGTCTGGCCAGCCATCACTGTCAGCCGATATGCAGAGTTGAGGATAGGTTCACCAAACTTTGTCAGAAGGCTGGGATTCTGGATAATAGTGAGAGTAGCCTCTCCCAAACTGTTCTGATCTTCCATTACCAACATTATAATTTTATACATTTAAGTTCAATGTGAAAACCATGTTAACCCCTATCTTAAACAATAATCAGCATAACTTATGACCTAAAACAACATTTCAATTCAAAAGTTAATCTCCTAAATCAATCCACCTAAACTACTCAAGTTAGGCATCTTCAGGGTGGCAGCTAAATTTACAAAATAAGAATGGGAGATAGGAAGTGAAGGTTAGACAGGACCTAAACAAACCAGACCAGCTGTGTCATTTCTGCCCTAGCCTGACAGTACTCCATCATATTCTCACTATATGTCCTTTTAATGCCACTGCTCTCTAACCCAGGTGACAGAATAAGACCCATCTCTGTGAAATAAGTAAATAAAATCAGGTTTGATAATAATTAAATGTAAAAAAGGTTTATAAAGTGAAGTGCTGATTGTTCTACTGGGAAATGGTAAATTTTTAAAAGATAGAATACTGGTCTATAAATCTGTTCATATGAAAACTGATTCCTTAGAGTCTATTTATTGCTAAGTTAAATTGGAAAAAAAGAAAAAGTGAGATTTTCCCCCTTTCCAAACTGATGGCTAGAAGCAACCATATCAGGTGCCTCTCTATAAAGTAGCCCTATAGGATTCATCCTTAGCAGCACTAAGCTGGTTTCCAGCTTCTCTGGATAGCAACAAAAATAAATCCTGCAGATTTTCAGGCAATGACAGGCAAGTTTCTGGAAGTCCCGACTTCCCTGGTGAGGTGAGGTGCAGAGTTGTGAGATGGGATCTGCTCATCTAGACTAATGAAGACTACTGAACGACTCCTAGCTCTTCTTGTTTTACCAATTGTATCAGTAATTTATTGTGCCGTTTCCAACATTATAGTTTTATACATTTAAGTTCAATGTTAACCCCTATCTTAAACAATAATCAGCATAATTTATGGCCTAAAACATTTCGGGCATATGGGGCAGCACCTATGGCTCAGTGAGTACGACACCAGCCCCATATACCGAAGAGTGGTGGTTTCAAATCTGGCTCCGGGGTGGCGCTTGTGGCTTAAAGAAGTAGGGCAGCAGCCCCATATGCCAGAGATGGTGGGTTCAAACCCAGCCCCGGCCAAAAACCGCAAAAACAAAACAAAACAAAAAACCCTGGCCCCAGCCAAACTGCAACAAAGAAATAGCTGGGCATTGTGGTAGGTGCTTGTAGTCCCAGCTACTCGGGAAGCTGAGACAAGAGAATCACCTAAGCCCAAGAGCTGGAGGTTGCTGTGAGCTGTGACGTCACAGTACTCTACGGAGGGTGACAAAGTGAGACTCTGTCTCTTAAAAAAGAAAAAAAAAATTTCTTGTTGTGTAACAAATCACCCAAGAATTGAAGAGCTTAAAACAACAAATGTATTATTTCATACATTTGCTAAGGATCAGGAATCAAGCGTGGCTAAGTTGTATGATTCTGGCTCATTACCTCTAGAAATCAAGAGTCCAGCTGTTGCCAGAATTTCTCTCTGTGCTGAGCCCTGGCTCTCAGCATTTAAAGTATGAAACTACAGGCCACAGTGATAAGTGATAGGATAGAGTTTATTGACAGGGACAAAGATTGGTAGGCATGATACACAAAAGAGGGGAGAACAGAACCCCTGGCAAGGTAGAGGTCAAATATAAGTGGAAAGCCCTTGGAATCCTGTACCTAAGGTACTTAAAGCCTATCCTTCAGGCAGGGGGTTTGGGGAAAACATTCCACAGAAATCTTCGGGCAGAGAATGATCCTAAATTTAGCACAGGAATGTGATCTTTGCAGTTGTTGCCTTAGGCAAAGAATTAGGCTGTTGGCTCCCTTCTTAAGAAGACACCTCCCAGAATCTTTCAGGCTTGCTTTGTCCCTGATGTTGCTAGAGCCCAGAGGGTGTGGCCTGGAAAGGGTGACCTTTAAGTGCCTAGAGATGGCGGTCTGAGTATTTTTCCCCCTCACTTTTTGACAAACACACAGAAGGGGGGTGTCCCTGTCCAGCCCTAAACAAAGTAACCCCATGTGTCACAACTGTCATCAGAGGCTGCAGTCTTGAGACTTCACTGGGGCTAGAGATGGCTCACTCATGGCTATTGGTAGTTCTTTGGTGACTTGTTGAGAAAGGCCTCAATTTTTCACAAAGCAGGCCTCTCCCCAGGGCTGCTTGAATGTCTGCCTAACATCGTAGCTGAGGTCCCCTAGAGCAAGTGACCCAAGACCACAAGTAGGAAGCACAATATCTTTTATGACCTAGTCACCAAAATAGCTTTGACTATACCATTTGCTTTATTCTATTTTGTAGAAGCCATTCTGTAAATTTTGCCTACTCTCAAGAGTAGAGGAATTAAATTCATTTTGATGGGAAAAGTATCCATGAATTTTTGGACATTTTCTAAACCCAGCACTTCTATGCCCAAAGCTAGGCTTCAAATAGGAAATGTCCCTACCAATACATAGTACACCTAAAATACCAGATCTCAGAAGACTCTGAAATCCTAGTAGCTGTGCTTGCTAAAGAGTTGGAAGAGTTCTGCTTAAGGGAAATGAAGCCTTCTTCCCTTATTTTTGTTTTTATGGATTTTTTTTTTAATTATTTATTGTTGGGGACTCATTGAGGGTACAAGAAACCAGGTTTCACTGGTGGCTTTTGTTAGGTAAAGTCCCTCTTGCAATCGTGTCTTGCCCCCCAAGGGTGTGGCACACACCAAAAGAGTTTGTTTTTTACTATTTTTGTATAGCCATTGAAAGCTCATCCAGATCTCCTTTCCCATCTCGGGATCCTTGAAAGAAATAACTCTACTGGCTCAGGTTTGTCCTGCATTGTTAGAGTACTTTTGGAAAAACCAAAGTTATTAGGGTACCAACATATCCCCATTTTGTCAGGTTCACATACAAAAATTCATCTTAAAACACTGAAAGACAATATACCTAACTCACAATTATTAGAACAATTGTGATAAGTTACCTGGGACAAAATGCTTAATGCGTAAGTGGAAAAGTAAGGCAGAGAATGATTGACAGCAAATTATTCTATTTACAGACACCATGTATTTAGCTTCTTTGATAGGTAACTTACTTGGTCCTAAGCCCTAGTGATCTTATGCCTGTTTGAGAGGCCTGGAAAACAAGATGCCGCAATTTGTTTGCTCTTAAGTTCCTTCTCGTTTCAAGTTGGTCTTAAGGCAATTTTTCAGACACTCAACCTAGTTGTGTAACAGCTGCTGTCAGTGAGAACAGAAGTGGCTCTGAAAAGAGCCTTTGGGAGGGAGAAAGCGAACAAGCCCTGCTGCAGGACAATTTATGCTCGCTCGCCACGGATGCGGCGTGCAAGCTGGATGTCCTTGGGCATAATAGTCACTCTCTTGGCGTGGATAGCGCACAGGTTGGTGTCCTCAAACAGACCCACCAGGTAGGCCTCGCAAGCTTCCTGCAGCGCCATCACCGCTGAGCTCTGGAAGCGAAGGTCGGTTTTGAAATCCTGCGCGATCTCACGTACCAGACGCTGGAATGGCAGTTTGCGGATAAGCAGCTCAGTTGATTTCTGGTAACGACGGATCTCGCGCAGCGCCACTGTGCCTGGCCGGTAGCGATGGGGTTTTTTCACTCCACCAGTAGCCGGAGCGCTTTTCCGAGCCGCCTTAGTGGCGAGCTGCTTTCGCGGAGCCTTACCGCCGGTAGACTTGCGAGCTGTCTGCTTAGTGCGAGCCATAGTAGACAACGCAGAGCTCAGAAAACAAGCAACTGAGCAGATGGTGGCACGAGCAGAATTTATACCTATGATCTGATCCTCATTGGTCAGAAACACTGTAGGAGTAACGTGATTGGTTTTTAATACAATCTTTATTTGGTTCCTAACCACCGCCTCTGAACGGTTTTTTCCCCCAAGCTACTAATTTTATTGTTTATTGTTTTCGATTCAAGATTCCCCCAAAGAAAAGGGAATCTGACGTGGAATTTTAGGAAATCAGCCTTAATTGTTCTTAAATTCATTTTCGTTGGGACCTTTTTTCTATTTTAAATAATGTAAAAAAAAAATACAGTAAATAATTTTTTGTCTCAAAAGTAGTTCCCTTTCCTGGTTGGCTCACTCACATGGCTATTGGTAGTTCTTTGGTGACTGTTGAGAAAGGCCTGGTTCATTAAATCTCTTTTTAATTACTACCCAGAACAGAACAGTTTATAGACCGGCCCCTGGAACACCACCAGAATTTTGGGTTGGCCAGCATGATGTGAGGAAGAAACGAGTTTGATATATGTATGACTATATAATACCAATAATTGGTATCTGACATCTTCATTAACTGATTTTGAAGCAATCAAATGGGTTACTGTACTATTTAATATGTAAATCACGTACTTAATCAGCGTGTGGGGAGTGACTGAGTTTACACCTCATGGTTAGGTCTTTTCCAGGAGAAAAAGTAGCTGTAAAAACAGCTTTTTGAGTAAGGACAGAGATTTTACTTTAGGGACCATCAGGTTTTGCTATAAAGATCCAGCAAAGCAAAAATTAGTTCAACACTTAATTATAGTTGCAGGAGAAATAATCACCAGTAGTGTTTAACGACCCAGGTTTGTGGGGGGTGACGATAAAAGAAAGCTGACTTATTAATTTAGGAAAATGCAAATTTGACTTTACCAGGCCTGTTATTCTCAAACAAAACATTAGACTAGTTATTTCACGTGTTCCAATTTAGCCAAATTATGACAGAGTTTAAGAACAGTGCTCAGTTCTTCCACAGAAATGGTGGGTGGCTCTGAAAAGAGCCTCTGGTTTAGCTTAAAGTTTAAATTAGTGTGAATTCAGGCCTCATTTGCCCTTAGCCTTGTGGTGACTCTCGGTTTTCTTGGGCAGCAGCACCGCCTGGATGTTGGGCAGGACTCCGCCCTGCGCAATGGTGACTTTACCCAACAGCTTATTCAGCTCCTCGTCGTTGCGGATGGCCAGCTGCAGATGGCGCGGGATAATGCGCGTCTTCTTGTTGTCTCGGGCAGCATTGCCTGCCAGCTCCAGGATCTCGGCGGTCAGGTACTCCAGAACAGCTGCTAAGTACACTGGAGCACCAGCTCCGACCCGCTCAGCATAATTTCCCTTGCGGAGCAGGCGATGCACTCGGCCCACAGGAAACTGGAGTCCGGCCCGGGAAGAGCGGGTCTTGGCTTTGGCGCGAGCTTTGCTGCCCTGCTTACCGCGTCCAGACATTATCAAGTTACCTTAAAGTTGCCGGTGACTTACGCCACAAAATACTAAAAGTAAGAAAAGTCTGCACATTTTATAGCCGCAGCTGGGCGCGTAAAAGGCGTTGAACCATTGGCTAAACTTGCAATTCCGTTTTAAACAATGCAAATGAAGTTTCTTAAAGTAAGTGTTTTGATTGGAGGTAGGGACATAGACGTCGTCACCAGTAAACTCCAATCAGAAAGAGGGTTTTACTCACTCATTTGCATATGAGTTGTTATACATAAAAGGAGGAGGCGACAAACCTCTCACTCTTCCTTTTCTTTGTTCACAATTTTATTCCTTTTTGCCATGCCGGAGCCAGCTAAATCCGCTCCAGCCCCAAAGAAGGGCTCCAAGAAAGCAGTGGCCAAGGCCCAAAAGAAAGATGGCAAGAAGCGTAAGCACAGCCGCAAGGAGAACTACTCCATCTACGTGTACAAGGTGCTAAAGCAGGTCCATCCCGACACCGGCATCTCGTCCAAGGCCATGGGAATCATGAACTCGTTAGTCTTCGAGCGCACTGCGGTGAGGCATCCCATCTGGCGCACTACAACAAGCGCTCGACCATCACCTTCAGGGAGATCCAAACTGCCGTGCGCTTGCTGTTGCCTGGGGAGCTGGCCAAGCATGCTGTTGATACCGGAAAAGTGGCGCCCCAGCCAGCTCAGCCGAGCAGGGCCTGGGGAGGGGACCTGCCACCTCGTCTTGGTGACAGCAGCCAGCAAAGGAACTGGCCGGCTGGAGCAAGCTGGGGAGCTTTCCTCCCCCAGAGGCTCCAGTAGAGGGGCGCTAGAGGACCTGCCAATCAAGGGAAAACACTGGCGACTCCTTCAGCCCATCCCTGATTGGTCCATTTTCAATCCTGCTCCTGATTGGTCTATAGGCCAATCACAGCTAAGCTCTCAGGAGGATTACCCCTATATAAGACCCTTGAGCAGAGGGCTTGGGGGCAGATCATCGCAGACCATCCAGGAATATAGGGCAGAAGAGCAGAACTTTAGCAAGCTGTTGCAGACTTCTGAGGAAGAAGGAGCAAGAGCTGTGGCAGTTCTATTGTTGACTCTTCTGCAAAGAGACTTGGTCCTTTGTAAGAGCTATAGCACTTCAACTGCTGATCCTGCTATACGAAGAGGATCAGCTCTTTGTAAGAGTTGTTTTCGTAAGAGTTGTAACACTTGCATCCTGCCCTGCAAAGGGGGTGGGTCCTTTGTAAGAGCTGTAGCACTTCTATTGCTGATTGTGCTCTACAAAGAGGCTTAAGCTCTTTGTAAGAGTTGTTCTCATAAAGAGTTGTAACACTTGCATCCTGCCCTGCAAGGAGGTGGTGTGTGGTCTTGTATGAGCTGTAAACAAAACCTCACTGTTCGTTCTATAGTCTGATGACTCAATCATGGAATCGTGGAGACTAGGAACCTGGAAATCCAGCGTTAGACATATGGTATCACTGTGTCCGAGGGCACCAAGGCCGTCACCAAGTACACCAGCTCCAAGTGAGCTTGCTCCCAAGTCTAAATCCTACGGCTCTTTTCAGAGCCACCTACGGTTTCAGACAAATAGCTGATGCATTTTGCCTGTGGCTTAGTTTTATGGAGACGAGATTAATAGGAAAAAAAAAATGAATAGTCTTCGATACACATTGTTGCGTAGGCATTTGGACGCGTGGTCAGGCTCTTAGTTTTAATTCGTTGATGCCCTTTAAAAAGAGAGGCGTGTAGTTCCGCTCTCCGCTACCGCTGTCAAAGTTCTTTTGGTTGCGCTTCCGTTGATGCTAGTAACGCCCCTAAGTCTCCGATTGGCCGTTGGTCTATTTGAAAAGCCTGCCAAAGGCTACAATCTGCCAGATAGTCTCATCCGGGTTGTGTTTTTGGAAGAGTTTCTCTGTACGTTAGAATTATGGATTCCCTTAATTGCGGTAATGCCTCAGGCTCTGCAGCTAAGAACCAGAAAGTGTAAACTCACAGTTCGTTTTCTGCCGTTAGATCCTGGGCGGAATTAACTATTCAGCGCCCGTTTCCTATAACCTTAGAGAACATACACTGAGATTAGAGCCCTGCCAACTCATCCACTGACATTAGGGTGAGTTGAAATGACTGGTGTCAAAGCGCAAAGGGAACCTTAAAAGTCACAGACGCTCCTGAAGGCTAAAAGGTTGAACAAGGAACCTAGCACCTTAGGAAAGTTGCTTTCTTGTATAATCAGGCGGCGTTAAGGAGGAAGGATGTATCAGCATTCACTGTGGCAGGGGTGCAGCTTTCAGCCTGAGATTTGAGAGTTCATGATTAGGAATCCTGAAACAAAAATCAGACAATCCAACATTTAAAAAGAAGCAGACCGCAGAAAAGGCTACAGAGGTAGGAGGTGTCCCAAGAACATGAGATAGGAATAGAAGCAAGGGGAAATTTTTGAGGCATGATAGAAAGTCCTTCAACTTCCCTTCTCAATAGCTTTCCTGCATTTTATAGCGTTAACATCTTCCACTACGTCATTCCCTCTCCAATAAAATAGTGCTATTGTAAAAATCTTTTCTTAGCAACAAAATGGCAAGCCCCTTCAACATATCCCCACTCGAGGCTTAAAAATCACCCTTTACTTTTTTCTTTCTCTCCTTGTTATCATTTCCCTTACAACTGTGGGTTAGGACTCTATCTCGGACGAACAGTCTTGTCTCTGACAAACTACCAATAGACCTGAAGTCATTCTAAAGGTCAATATACGTGTTTGCCGTTTACTTTCCTAAGAAGAGATTTTCTCACCCAGACCTGGCACTACTTGGTGAAGAGCGGTCCCTAATTGTCCCTCACTTTGTCGCCCTAGCTAAAATGCCGTGGCGTCACGCTCACACCAACCTCAAACTCTTGTGCTCAAGCGATTCTCTTGCCGCCCGAGTAGATGGGACTACAGGCGCCCACCATAACGCCCGGCTATTTTTAGAGACGAGGTCTCGCTCTGGCTCAGGCTGGTCTCGAGCTTAGGCGATCCTCTCGCCTCGGCCCCTCAGAGTCCTGGGATTACAGGCGTGAGCCACCCCGCCCGGCCCCTGTTTGCTCTTTTAGCGAGACTGATTCCTCACTTTGCCCCCAATCCTTGAGAGATCTGAGGAAAAATTATCCGGAGTAGGTAGGCCAAGAAGTATTGTTCTCTTCTGCCATCTTGTGGCAAAAAAGCAGCAGCACAAATTCAAGACGTGTTTTCCAACCACAATTGAAATACCTGTACTTCCCAACTTTATGCTGACAGTCAGTGGTTAGGTAGGGTTATCATTTCTATCTCCTTTTACCTTCAAGATTTAAGTTAGTAATTACCTCACGAGTCATTCGTGCGTCCGTTAAAAAGGGTTAGGAGTAGGTGGAAAAGACAAGAGTAAGGAGAGAAAGTTGAGTTTTGTGGCCTGGTCAGAGCTGTCCAAAACAAACAGAACAAAAAAATTATAACAAAATACTCTATAATCTAAAATAAATAATAATAGGATCATACTTTCTAGCTCTAGTCATCGAAATATTAAATACTTGAATGTTTCCTATAAACTTGAGCACCTGCCAAAATCAATGTAAGCCTGATTTTTGCTCATTTGCTGTTTGAAGACAATGTCTTGTCTCTCAAATGATAATTACAGGACTAAGTTGCAGGTTTTCAGTGATGAAAATAACAATGTACACTTGGCAGCCTTGGTTATTTCACAAGCCTGCCTGCCTTCTTTCTTTTTGTCCTTCCTTCCTTCTTTCTTTTTTATTTTCCTTTAAATGCTTGGGTTCTCCCCTCCTCCAAAGTCTAACTCCCTTACCTATTAAAACACATGTACTAGTTTGACAGAACTGACATTTAAAAATACCACAAACTGAGCAACTTTAACAACAAAAATTTACTTTCTCACAGTTCTGGAGGCCCAAAGTCCAAGATTAATATCAGTGGGTTTAGTTTCTCTTGAGGCCCCTCTCCTTGGCTTATAGACTATCATCTTCTTGCTATGTCTTTGGTGTTTTTTCTGTGCATGCTCACCCCTGTGTCTCTTCCTCTTCTTTTAAAGATAGGGCCCCACTCTTACAACCTCATTTAATCTTATTACCTCTTTAAAGGTTCTTTCTTCAAATACAATCACATTGGGGGTTAAGAATTCACACAATTCAGTCCACAACAGCACCTAAGACCATTTTCTATGCTTTGATCCCCACCTGCTGTTCCAAGTTATCTTTCATAAAATGTCTACATTTATCTTACTCTTTGGATAATGTGACAGTTATGATATTCCCTAAACCAGAAGTTAAACCTCAGTTGTTCCCAAGGGCCCAGCATATTAGAGCAAACTGGTCAAATACCAGAAACCACACCTTCTTTCTTTCTTTTCTTCTTTTCTTTCTTTTTTTCTTTTCTTTAATTTATTTTATTTTATTTTTTAGACAGAGTCTCACTTTGTTATCCTGAGTGAGTAAAGTGCTATGGCATCATACCTTACAACAACCTCAACCTCCTGGACTCAAGTGATCCTCTTGCCTCAGCTTCCCACGTAGCTGGGACTACTGGCACCTATCATGACATCAGGCTAGTTTTTACTTTTTTTAATAGGGGAGGGTCCTCCACTCTTGCTCATGCTGGTCTTGAACTCAAGCAATCCACACACCTCGCCCTCCCACTGTGCTAGGATTACAGGTGTGAGCCACCATATCAGTTCATATTTTCAGTTTTGAGAGAGATATGGACCATGACATATTTAACCCTTTTTAAAATTCCACTGTAGGAACAACCATAGTGCTAACATTCATAAATGTCACCTACTGTGGAAACTAATGTGTCCAGTGGGAACTTCGGAAAACTAAAGAGCACAAACCTATACAATGCAGTTTCATTGATTTCTCCCTTATAGTGATGCAGGCACAAGGATAGTGAACTTTCCAATTTTTCAAGAGGATATGCATTTTAATATGAAATATTCTAAATTTTCAATATTGCCAACTAATAAAAAAAAAAATGACATGATTTAGACCAAACCAAAAAGGATC